TACGATTAAGTTTCTCATAAAGATGTATGTAAGCGCCTGAAGTTCGTAGCCACAAACCGTAGAAACTATCATAAGCATCAACCAATGAACGTCTTTATTACCTAGCCCTAGGGATCAAAATAGCCCAAAAGCCTTATATAGTATGGTCTTTGGACCCAAAAGCCTTAATATATGAGTCCTTAGATCCCTAGAATAATTAGCATCAAAGGGGAGAAGGAGGGACCCTTAATAAGGACCCCGAGGTATATACCCTTAAGATAGCTATTATATACCCATTATATCGCCCATTATAGGGCAGGGGTCCCCATTAAGGGTCCCTCCTTTTCCCCTTTGATACATGAGTCCTTAGATCGCTAGGGCTATAAACCCCATCCCCAAACCCGAAACCGTGATAGAATCCCAATAGATCCCTTGAAAGGGAGACTTAAAAGACCCGTTATAACTACCCCGGATCTAGAATAATTAGCAGTCCCAAAGAGGAAGGGTGCGGGGGATGGCTTTCCACTCCGGCCCACGCACGCAGGCCGGACTCGGTGATTGAAGGGAGCTTTCGTGTTCAGGAAACTCTGGGGGTGCCTTTAAGGGATCTACAAGGGTTACTACAAGGACGATGAGACGTGGTGTAAGGGTACCATAAAAGGTTTTTTCTTGTTTAGGGTTGAACGTTTTAGGGTTTTAGGGTTTTAGGGTTGAAGGGTTTTATGGTTTTAGGGTTTAAGGCTTATGTGGACCACCAAAGGGTCTGCCTTGTCTAAGTTCTATAGGGTCTTACAGGGTGGGAAGAGGGGTTGACATGGAGGTCTGAATTTTTAACTAGGTAGGCCTTTGGCACATTTTCCTTGCTGCCTCTCTTAAGCTTTTACCTACATTATTTTAGAGAGTTTGAACTTGCCAGCCCAGACAGTATACAGCAATGCTTTTCCGTGATAGTCCATATAGCTACACTCTGAGCCACCATGATATACCTCAACACCTTGCTCTACCGATGAAGGCCTGCCCTTCTACTGGCAACAGTACTTGGAGGTTCATTCATGGGTAGCTATACGTAGGGTTATAAGTAGGGTGACTATACTTATGACCCATATAGGGCACTTTTAAGCCCATTCACAACTACCCATAAACCTGCAATTATTCCTGGGGTTCGAATTCCCGAACAGTTACATATTCTAGGATGCCCAGTAGTACCCTTATTCCCTTTTTGTAGTCCTAGGTTCCTTATAAAGTTACCCAATACCAAAAAGAAAGGCCTTTTTATTCTTAGGCTACTGGGTATCCTACTATTCATCCCTCCCGCCTTTCGAAGACTGAGTTCAGGAATGCTGAGCCTGCAGCCTTGAGGGGTAAACCCCAAACCTTAGGGGTACTTACATTTTTTTAATTTTTGGTTATTATAATCCCTAAGAAACAGCTAAAATTATAATTTTTGCTAGGGCTCTAAGTTCAGTATAGAAACCCTAAGCCGTAACACCGGCAGTAGCAGCCGAGGGATCAAACCCGAACGCTGAACCCCAAGTCCCAAATCCCAAACCCATCTCTGAAACCCTAAACCCTGTACACTAAATCCCGATTCCGAAACCCTAAACCCTGAACACCGAACCCTTCTATCCCGAAGCCTGAAACTGTGCTGGCGAGGCTTTTCCCGATGGTGCCAAGCGATCGAGCCAGGGGCTCCGGAAACGCACGGTTTGGGGTTTAGGGTTTAGGGGTTCTCTTGTTTGGTGTGCTACAGATATTGTTAGAACTACATAGGGCTATAAGGGAATAGTCTCACTAACTAATCCGACCTCTTTCTAGGCTATAGGGTTAAGGACTCTGAGATCAGAAACACCGAACCTCATGCCTGGATATGATTCCGCCTTGGGATGGTTTTCCATGTTTTTCTCAAGAGAGTGCTGCAGGAACAAGGAATAGTTGCGCAGGAAGTACTGCATTCACTGTTAGCTCCTGCCACAGCTTATTCGATGTCTTGCCCACGACTCAAAAGAGCATGTCGAGCCCTAAACTTCTACAGACATGCAGCGAAGCCGAAGTTTGAAATGGCAATGCAGGTCATGATAGTCTGATGATGACGATGACGATGAAAAAGATGATGACGAATGTAACTATGATGACAGTGCTGAAGACGGTGATGAAGATGTTGGTGTTTGTGATGATGATGATCATGATGATGATTGCAGTCGAGTTGACGACGATGATTTTGTTGATGTTGTTGTTGGTGGTCATGATGATGATGTTGGTAATGATACTGCTGTTGATGATGATGTTGTCTTTGACGATGATGGCCATGGCGATGGCAATGAATCCTACCTGCCTTCGTTCCACCTTTTCTGTCTGGTGCTTATAGGGAATGGGGGATTGGATCCTATGTTCGCCCCTTAAGGTTCCCTATGTAGTCCCAATAACCCATTCCCCCATTCCCTACTAAGAACCAGACAGCCTAATTCTCTTCTCTTCGTAGCGTTCAGGGTCCAGAGGACGCACGCCTAGCAATGAATTCAGGGTTGAAGCAGTGTGCACTCGCCCGGAGTAAACCCGAGCGGAGCAGAAATCTGCAGAAGAGGAAGCATGCCAAGATGGAACCAGCATGTACAAAAGCTGTCTCGGCCATGCACATCTCTTCAAAAAGTCAAAACTAGAGCCATCAAGGGACAGCCGCTGCCGGCATTGATGGGGACATGCCATACACAATTTACAATTGCCTGGCACTCGGACTGAAAGCAAGAACGCTACCTAACGCACGCAACCGGGCTCGATTGAGGTTCTACTTGTCACCGTAGAACCTTTCACAACCGGCAACCGAAGAGAAACAGTACTATCTTGAGCATTCCTCCGGGGGCCGGGGGAGGCAAACTACAAGACAAAGCCTTTCAAAGCCCCACAAGGTGGTTTCATTCAAACCACGTCCCACTCGAAACATGCGTGCCATGTACAACGCATTCACACTTGAACCCCGAGCTTATTCCTCCAGGGAACAGGGGAGGCCAACTACAGGGTAGGTCCCTCACAATGGAAAATTAAACATCACTGTGCCCTCTCAGACGTGCCGCTGCATACAGTGACCGCGTATATACACACCAACACGTGTGAGGTCCGAGTCTAACGAAAGCGAAGCGCCCAACAAACCCGTCGACATGCCGCAGAACTCCAGGACCTGGTCTACCGGGCTGCGGGGCCAGATGTCAAGGCGCTCGCCTATCGTTTTTGTCGTATAAGCAACGTTAGTGCCTTCAATCTTGAACTCATAGTGCCGCATGTCACGATCGTACTTACCATCGCCAGGGGTCGATTCCTTCTGGAAGTTGTCATCCGAAAGAGTACAGCCGCCCTCAAACTGCTTGCCAGCAAAGATCGGGTGCTGCTGGTCGGGCGGGATGCCTGCCTTATCTTGGGACTTAGCCTTGACTTTGTCGAACTTGTCACTGGCCTCAACGCCCAAGGTCTTGACAAAGATCTGCATGCCGCCTCGCAAGTGCGGCGCCAGGTGAAGGCGTGCCCTCCATGGGCACTGGGGCTAACGATAGTTCCGCGCTGCTGCGGCGATTCGAGCCCTAGACAGCCTAATTAGTAAGAAACCTAAACTTCTGTAGTATAACCGCCATAGTAACCCTTACAGTTGTTATAGTATCCCTTAAAGGAACCCTTACAGGAACCCGTATCAACCCTGAATCCGGATTAGGCAGCCTCCGCAAGCCCAACGACCTTCGGGCGAAAGGCCCTGGAGTGCTTCTGTACTTGGGCGCCCAAGCCCTAAACCCCGAGACCCAACCCTAAACCCTAAGCCCTAAAACCTAAAGCCAAAGCCATAAACCCTCAACCCAAAACCCAAACCCTAAACCCTAAATTCAACCCTAAACCCTAAACTCAAAGCCCAAGTATTCTGAAACCCTAAACCGGCTGTGTCATCTGCATTCCGGGAGCGGTTGTAGGTCTTACGGACGGAGCTTCGATCTGGAAGCTGGGCCAATGTCCTTAAATTCAGACTATCTTGTTGAGGTTTCCTGGTCCTAGTCTGCTCTAAGGGATATTCCTAAACCGTAGACCCAAAATCCAAACCCAATAAGGCATGATACGGATTCAAGAGGGTTTATAGGGTTTAGGGACCTACAGCCATATTTGGGCCTTTGGGTCATCTGCGGATTTAGGATTTGGGGGGCTCTCTGAGCCGACGACACGGTTTCCTATTCATATTGTGCTATGCCACGCTAAGGGAGCTTCTTTCTAGGTGACAATTTGGGAAACTTTTTAATTTCCCTTATGGTTCCTATAGAGGTACCAATTCATAAATACTTTTCAGAGCCCCAAAAAATACAACCCAGAGTATGATATTCCATGTTACGTGAGCTTCTCTCTACCTATAGTCTCCGTTGTGGTTCCTTTTTTTGGTTAACCCAAACCTCTATTATAGGATCCTAACCATAAAACTGGTTAACCAAAAAAGGAACTACAATGGAGACTGTGGTAATTGTAAGCTTTCAGGAAGACCTCCCCTGTGCCAGTGACCAGCTGACAGGCACCAGAGGCAGATCCATAGTCCATCAACATTTGGGCGTTTCCGCTAGTTAGGGGGTGCCTCATTTTGGGTCCTTTAAAGGGCTGCTGTCAGGATGCTATAAGGGTTCCTTTAAAGGGCTCTATAAGGGGTCTTGGGGTTTCCGATAATTAGGGGTGCCTCATTTTGGGTCCTTTAAAGGGCTACTGTAAGGATACTATAAGGGTTCCTTTAAAGGGCTCTATAAGGGGTCTTAGGGTTTCCGATAATTAGGGGTGCCTTATTTTGGGGTCCTTATCAGGATCCCCTACTATTTAGGGTACTATATTAGGGTCCCATGTTTTCGGAAACTCCTATATGGGCGAGCAGAAACAAGAGACTCTAGCTTACTAGCGTCGGTACCCTGAGTATCTCCGGAGGGTGGAGCCAGTATATATATATTCATTGTGGCCTTTTCGGTAGCTCTCTCTATCCGGATCTTGAGCATCTCAGTATGGATTGCAAACCAGCCATGGCTCCCGCCGACGGTGCTGCGCCCGATGCACCTGTAGCTGGCGGCGTTACCCGCCGCTTCCCGGAACTGCCCAAGGAGCATCGCCAGGGCACAGAGCCTCCAAAACCCCTTAATTAAGGACTATACCTTAAATTATAATAGGATCCCTAATATGATTTTAAGGTATATTGCTTAATTGAGGGGTTTTGAAGCATCGCCAGGGATGTAGCCCTCAAGTGCCCCATGGGGTTTTTGTGTCGTAATTAGACTTAGAGGCCCAAGAAACGAGGGCTTAAACTGTTTAAGGGTTTAGGGTTTAGGGTTTTAGATGTTGTTTGCACACCTGCTGCCAGATGCGTGTTTGCGGATATGGCTTTGTGACGTCACCTGCGTCTGGACTTGCACAGCTGCGTGGCTGCTGCACAATTGCATCCGAAGGGTGCGTTTTCATCGGACTTTCTCATGCAGCCATGGTCTCACAAACTGCCCCCCGAAACTCCGGAACGGTAGGTTGTGATTGCGTGCCACGGCCTCAGCCCGCCTCCAACAAAATAGTTCAGGTTCTCCCTAGTCCCTAAGCCCTGAAGGACCATCCGCTCTGGAGCATAGAGCTGACCAGGGAGCAGCTCCGACGGCCAAGTAAACCCGATAAAATCAACCCGCATTCGCAGGAGAAAGTAGAGCTTGGGATTTTTATGCTAGTAACTACCGAACAGGAGCCCCCTTAAGGGATCTATGATCCTTACAATTGTCTGGGACCCTGACCGACTCCTGCTAGAACCCATGCTGACTTGCTGATGTAAGTCCTCAACAAGGGAGGCTTCTTGAAGGGTTCAGGTAGACCCTAAGTCTGAAATTGAACAGCAACTACTGTACTACCGTGAAGTCCAGAAAGTTGGAACATGGTGATGTCGTGCGGCATTGTCTTTACTTCATCTTAAGGGCATAAGACAAGTATGTTCCAACTTTGTGGCTTCTGCTGTCGGGTCTACTGGAGAGGGTAGAATCGATCAGGACAGGGGGAATAGGATCAGACCTTTGCGGTTTTGGGCTTCGAGTGCAAGGTTCTACGTAGGCTGAGGATGATTTGCCCCTGTGGATCTTCAGGTCACTTCGGCAAGAGATTCTGCAATGACGGGATGCCCCAACCTAGGCCGGACCTGAAAATTCTGAACAATGCCTTATATCACTCCATAGAAACCTTCGCAGGAACCCTCAACCACATAACAGACTTTGAGTTTCGATCCAGTAGTAGAGTAGGAAACTTTTAGCCTTTTTGGGGTAGTATAGTCCCTACATAATACCTATATACCCACAAAGGTTAACCTTTAGTTCCCCGTGATACCCGACAGGGAGGCCGATCCTGAGTCACGCGAGAGCTTCAAAGCGAAGCAATCCACTTTTCCTGTTGCATCTGGCAGTTTGAATACTGGGGTTTCAATGCTTACGTAGGCCTTGTTATGTTTGCCCTTTTTATGGGCTTCACGACGATGTTCTTTAACTACGATCTTTTCAAAGGCTTTAAGGGGCCAACCTGGTTAACAGGACTTACTCAGTATTCAGTTGTCGTCCCCAACTGCCACAAAAGATGCCTGAAGCCCTGTTCTCATCTCATCGGCCCCTGTATTAACCTAAACCCTCATAAGAACCCCTGTAGGAGCTTCACCCTTACAGGAGCCCTTTTAAGGGAACCCTTCATGAACGCGAAGAAGCTTGAGATTTGAAGCCCAGGGTGCAGCTTTCAACTTAGGTAGGGTAGGGTAGGGTAGGGCAGGGTGGGGTAGGGTAGGGTAGGGTGGGGTAGGGTAGGGTAGGGTGGGGTAGGGTAGGGTAGGGTAGGGTAGGGCAGGGTGGGGTAGGGTGCAACTCGAGTTCGTAAGGCCCTTCCAGGCCAACCCCAAACCCTGAAGTCTCTACCTTAGAAGCTGCGCCCACCCTGTAGTAGTGACTATAAGGATTATATATATATATCTATATATATATATATATCTATATATATATATCTATATATATATATATATATATATATATATATATATATATATATATATATATATTAGGGCCCTATTATATGCCCAATATACCACTAATACAGGGTGGCGGCCCCTTCTAACCTCTACCCCAAACCTCAAAGCCTTAACCCTCATCAACTTTAAAAAAAAAACCCTCAACCCTATCCGCTAAACCCCGGAAACTGCAAGTCCGAAGCCCCAACTAAGCCTTAGTTCCGATCTGCTAGATGTGGGCGGTTCTTACCGTGCCCTAAACCCTAAACCCTATAAACCTTGAACCCTAAACCCTAAACCGTAACCGTAGGGCCGTGGTGGTGGGGGGGGGTTGACTAATTCGCATCACTCGTCCTCTGGGCTCCTTCTTGGAATAAACCTTAGCCCCCCAAAACCTGCCTTTTCAGAGCCTACATGAAGAGATCAAAATCAGAAGCCCCAAACATAGGGTTCGGGTAAGCTCCTGCCCCCTCCCCCCCGGCCCAAGCACTTCCGATTGTTTGCAGAATGCTCCAGGTTTCTTGTGGATTTGGGGCTTGGGGGTCGACACAGGGAAATTTAGGGTTTAGGGCTTGCCTTGTCGTCGCGTAGGTCTGGTTTTTGGACGTCAGCCGGATTGTCCCAGAATCTTGTTCAGCCAGACGTGCGGCCATCCAAGGAATGGGAAGCATTGGCTTAACAACCCCTTCGCATCTGATGCTTGCCTACTTGTCGGTGGTCGCTACTTCTTCCTTCACAGGCCGCTTGTATCTGACCACAGCACGTATCTGCAACACCTTCTCGATTCACGGATGTGGCACGAACACATTTTTGGGCTTCTTTGGACTCAGTTTAGGGTTTGGGGTTTAGGGTTAAGGGTCAGGAGCCGTGTTGACTCCATGATTTCATGGTTGATTTATTTGCAGGCCCGAAGTTGCTTGGCGTAGCAGTACACCTGGAATCTGAATCTCGAAGCCACTAAGTTCGTAGAACCAATTGACTTGTGTTGAGAGAGCTATGTAGGTTACATCACACATGTTCCAACTTTTGGTTTGAGGGAGGCATGCATACTCAGGATGCGGATTCCCCAAGTGAGGCTCGCGATTTTACACTGCAGCTTACCGGCGAAGTGGTGGAGCCAGATGCCTTGGCAGCTCTACTTCATTGGATGTACACTGGCGATTCGAGCTCTCTCCACAGTGACATAGTTTTTAGCCTCATCCGGGTTGCACAGTTTCTGGGCATGCAGGAGGAGTTCTGGCAAGTACTCTATACAGCCATCACAGGCATGTGGGTGGCATCGGGATCAGCGATGTGGCTGGACACTTTTGCCAAGCATGTCAATCGCATTTCCCTGCTACACACGCTGGAGATTTTGCGGAGATGCGACAAAACTGCTGTGAAAGTACCGCCGGATATTCAGCTCAGCCTGCTGCTGCAAGCTGCAGATGCCCAGATCAGTTCTGATCTGAAAAGCGATTGCCAGCAACTGGCGAAGAAAATCCGTCAGCTTGTTCCGCTTTGCGCAGAGCAAGGCCTGGTCACAGCAGCCGAGAAGCACAGCAGCTTTGATGTTTTGGTTTCGTCGAGAGAGCTTATGGGCGAGCTGAAGAGACGGAAAGAGCTGAAACGGAAAGCATATCACAGGCAGTGTTCGGTATGTAACCTCGTATTTGCAAACGAAGAGGAGGCTGCAGGAGCCAAGTGTTACAAAACCGTCGTGAAGCATTCCTCTGACACCTTCGTCTCGAAGGCAGGAAATGCCTGCTGCCGGAGGTGCAGCCAGCCATTGCACCTTTCTAGTTTCAGGTGCACCGAGCGTGTCGAGATGTCGGCCCACACACTCTCGTCATGGCTTGAGAGATGATATGAAAAAATGGAAAACTTACCTTTGGTTAGTAGGGAATGGAGGGAATGGAGGAATGGGGTACAATTATAACTACTATTACTACCATTCTTCCATTCCCTACTTACCAAAGGTAAGACTACCCCTATAGATCCCATTATAAGGAGCACCCATAGATCCCTTTAAGGAGCCCTATAGATCCCTTTAAGGAGCCATTCCTTACTAACCAAAGGTAAGAAAAAGGGCTTGGGCCTGGAAGCCCCAACCTGCAGAAGGTCTTCCAGCTGAGATTGTGCTCGTAGCCGGGGCGGCTGTTAGAATACTGTTCACATGGAGCGCGAGACTCGAAAATGTCAGGATTCCCTGCCAAGATACCCAGAACCAGGGAGAGGCTTGCTTGGAGGTTCATGGGTAGTTATACGTAGGGTAACTATACTTACAACCCATATTCGGGGACTTATAACCCCTTTTATAACTACCCATGAACCTCCAAGCGTTCCCACTCCGACCCTCGTGAGAACCTGAGTTTAGCTACACTAGGACCCAGAGTAGGCCCTTATTCCCTTTTTTGAGGGTTCAGGTTCCCTTATAAGCCCCTTTAAACCAAAAAGGGCACCCTTTTATTCCTAGGTTACACCCCTAAACCCTAAACCCCAAACCCTAAACCCCTGAGTTTAGCTGCAGGGTTTTTGGAGCTTCTTCGCAGGATTGGAGGAGGCCCCAGCCTTAAATCTTGCAGCGTCTTGGGGGGATCCCCTTAATGGGGATTCCTTTAGGGGCTCCTTGAAGGGTCCCTTTAAGGGATCTGTAGGGTTTTCGGGTTTAAGGGTTTAGGGTTTAGGGTAGATCCCTCAATGGGGGTTCCTATAAAGTGCCCTTAGTACCTATAAGGCCCCAAATTTGGGGATCTACTTTCCAGATCCTCCCGGGGGTCTGGGTTTGCAGCGTCTTGATGATTTTTGCTGGCCTGAAGCTGGGGGTTTTGAAGGGTGGTTGGAGTCTGTCTAAGGGTTGGGCATGGTTTGCGGAGGCTTGTTTTTTCAAGGGGTTCAGGAACCCTCTTCCAAGGGTTTCAGAAGCCTGAGGCTTGATATCACAAGTTGACCTTTACTAATTGCTAGTGCACTACCCCTAAACCCTAAACTACTGTGCACGGGAGGGGCGCCTTGTTCCTTCGCTCTTGGAGTCTAGGGCTGTAACTCACCCTAGCTTCTAAACTCCTAAACCCTAAGTCTAAGGGTGCAATTGCAGTAAAAGAACCCTAAGCCCGACACACTGAACCCCAAGCGCCCCGAACAATATCGCGAGCTTGGGGCGGTTTACCGACCTTCAGGGAAGCGGCCCAAGGGAGAAAACCCTTTCCGAACCGCCCCCCAACCTTGGAGAACCCTCAACTTAGATCCTTTCCTAACCTGCTTGGTGCAGACGGAAAAGGGTGCTTAACAGCAGCCCTTAACCCTCATCTTCACACCACCATTATCAAGCTCTTATCCTGAAGTTCCAGTCCTGGTGGTCGGCCGTGTTTGGGAGAGGACAAACGCTAACAGCTTACAAAACCGCGAAACCCTGAACCCCCCAAGCCCCTAAGCCCTAAACCCCTAAACCCGTAAACCCCTAAACCCCAAACCCTATTCCCCAAACCCTCAACCCTAAATCCCTAAACCCTAAACCCATAGCCCAAGTCACATCTTAAACACATAAGCCCTAAATCCTAAACCTTAACCCCTAAACCCTAAACCCTAAAAAGGGCCGCTAAAAAAAAACTAAACCCTAAATCCCTAAACTGAGCAGTTTGGGGAGCCAGGGGGTCAAAACCGATCGCGACCCGGACTGGCGACTCCCAAAACGCGCAGGGCCCTTAGAGTGTAGGGTTGAACGGGTGGGAGGGTGTACCGGTTTAGGGTTTAAGGTGTAAGGGCTTAGGGTTTATTTGATATTTCAGGAGCCGGGTTATCGGAAAATTGGAGGTGTTGCAGTTTCGTGTTGCTTTACAAGACATTGTAGGCTGTAGAAGGTGGGGGTCTCTAGTAGCAAGTATGGATTTAAACGTCGGTAGTCGAAATAGTCAACAACCCTAAGGGTCCGAGTACTTAATCATCATATCCTCTCCAAAATGTTAAGCGACTCCACTACTATCCTAAACCCAAGTACCTTATTGTTGGGTCCTTTTGGACCCTTAGGGCAATGCTACTTACTGATTCCCTGATCTTTTCAGCCTAGTATCCTATTATAGTATACCATAACAGTACCGTATTTTACTATACCATAATAGTATACCCTATTATGATATACCATAATACTATCCTGTTAAGACTGCCAGGGTGTTGCCGCCTCCGGGGTTGCGGCGAGTGGGTCGGGTCAAGCGGCATCCTTTACAGGGGCCCCCGCCCTGTAACAGTGGTATAATAGGAATGTACTAGGGCCCTAATATAATCCCTATAGTCACTATTACAGGGTGGGGGCAGCTTCTAAGGCATCCTGAACAGGCAGAGCTTCGCAGAGGCAGAGGAAGCTCTGTGTGCATACGTACATACATCCATGCATACATACATCCATTCATACATACATGTGACATGGCATGACAGGACAGGACAGGACATGACATTGCTTGCATATCTATATCTATATATATATATATATGTACATAGATCTCGATCCAGAGAGAGAGGAGAGAGAGAGAGAGAGAGAGAGAGAGAGAGAGAGAGAGAGAGAGAGAGAGAGAGAGAGAGAGAGAGAGAGAGAGAGAGAGAGAGAGAGAGAGAGAGAGAGAGAGAGAGAGAGAGAGAGAGAGAGAGAGAGACAGAGAGAGAGAGAGAGAGAGAGAGAGAGAGAGAGAGCGAGAGAGAGAGCGAGAGGTGCTCAAGATGATTGGAGGAGCCTTTCCCCACAGACCCCGAGAGGCATGATCATATCGGGTAGGGCATCAGGGATGCCGGGGGGGCGGGGGGGTGGGGGGGTTGTCCTTCGACGCGAAGCTTATGGACGCTGGCTCTGCCATGAAGCGTTTACTTAGGGGCTTAGAAATATCTTTTAAGTTTTGGTTATTATAATCCCTAAGAAACAGCTAAAATTATAATTTTTGCTAGGGTTCTAAGTTCAGTACAGTTTAGGGTTTAGGGTCTATTAGCTCGTGGACACAACAAAAGCTTGGATTAATTGTGCAGATATGGCGCTATGCTTCCCTACATAGTACTAGCACGACCCGAAGCATCACAAATCTAATGTAGGGGCTGGGCTGTTGCTACAAGTCACTAGTTATCCGAAACCGTTATACAAAAGTTTCAAGTCCTGCCGACTCGGGGCCTAGCTACAATACCCCCATAGTCCCTGCAGAACTGACCCTCTTTCCGAAGTCCATCGACCAAAAGCTGGAAAGCTGTTCGCCTCGAGATACAACACCTGCCCCTAAACCCTAAACCCTAAACCCTAAACCCCAAACCCTAAACCCTAGCACCTTGCCACAATCCACCTCAAGAATCCCCAACATGTGTTTGACCAATTGACATCCTTACTGCCTTAGTACCATGAAGCCCGAAAGCCACAAGCACTTCAACCCCTGAACCCATGAAACTCTTCTGTTTGAGGTCCTGAGGTTAGGGTTTAGTGAGTTTAGTGGTTAGGGTTGTATGGTGAAGGGCATGTGTGTGTGAAGGGGTTTAAGTAATTAAGGTTTAGGGGTTTAGGGTTGAACGCTTCAAAGCTTCGATTTTGGGGTTATGCTGAAGCCTGTTGGTTTTGGGGGGTGCGGAGAGAGTTGGCTAAGGCGCGAAAGAGGAGCGAGAGGCCCTGGTGCTGTTTTTGCTTGCAGGGCATCAAGCTGAAATCCAAAAAAATGCTCTACGAAGTGCAAGCACCTGACGTTGTCTTAGTCTACACCGTGAAGTTAGCTCTCTCCGTTGCTGCTGCTGGTGCTGTTGTTTCCTTCCCTTGTTGTTCTTCGTGTTGTTATTCGTGGAGGGCTTTCACTAATTCAATTTGGAAAGACCCAAGCTCCAAAAGCCTAAACCCCAAACCCTGGAGTCCTAGAGTCCTAAAGCCCCGTACCCGAAAGCCGCAGAGCCCCAACCCCGTTGGGGACTGTCTCGGGAGCCCAGAATTCAGATCTTGATTTGAGGTTCAAGACTTTGGAGGGTAAATGGTCAGAACTTGGGGTTTAGTGTTTACGGTAATGCAGTATTCACGGTTTTGTGGTACATGGTGTTCAGGCTACAGATTCAGTTTGGGAGATATTCACTGTTGAGGGTTAAGATTCCAAAAGGTTAGTTCATTGCTCAGGGTTTGGTGCTTAGGGCTTGTTCGAGGTTCAAAGGACTCACATTTTAAGGCTTTTGAGACTAAAGACCTTATTATATTTAATAAGGCTTTTGGGCCATTTTGAGCCTTAGCCTTAGGGCCAGGCTTTGGGGCCCCCAAGGCATCGATGTTTTAGGTTGTAAGGCCTGGGATGTCCAAGTTCAAGAACGGCAGGGTTTCAGGTGCTGAGGGCCGTACAGAGTCTAGTATCTGGGACCTTAAAAACCCCTACAAGTTGAGTATCTGGGCCCTCCAAGTTCGTTTTGAAGACCTAGAGATTTCCTGCTTGGGTATGCGAATCCTCTAAGTTAGTCTTGTGGGTTTGGGTGTTTAGGGTTTTTTTGCTCAGCTCAAAGTTGAGGGTTTAGAGCAGCAGCATCCCGAATCCCAATTGCTTCATGGATACTTACAAGTTGGGCTATCGTAGGTCCGGTACTGATCGCGATACTTAGTAACAGCCCAGGGAAACCCACACCGTATCAACAGCTATAGATACCCACGGACACGGCAGCAATGACAGCGACAACAGACCCTAAAACCCCGATGATGGACCTCGACTCGGTCCCTGGTCCGCTCCCCCGGCCAAAGTTCAAAGCCATGCGCGACTCCACCGACCGCCTTCGATTCGTCCCGGCTTCTTCGGTGGACCCCCGCCTCACTAGCTCTTTGCGATCATAAAGAACCAAGACAGGGACCGCCTCATCATGGACTCGCGGTGCTCGAACCTA